GGGGGGGCAGGACACTCAGGAAAGACCATCAACCCCATAGTGCTCAACTGATGAGGAGCTGGGGGAAGGAGCTTGTGAGCTAGGGGATAAAATGCTTTCAGAATAGTTTTGAGAAGCCTGATTTGTCTCAGGGCTTGGGAAAAATTGAACAACAAAGGCCTCTCTCTCACTCAAGTGAGTACAGGTTAGATTTCTTGAGTGTTCATCAGCTCAAAATCCTGTGATAGCTCACTGGCAAACTCATGTGGGATAAGGCAGTCTGCCCCAGCTCTCTCTCTAGAAAATTTATCGGGGTACAGCGCATATCAGGAGTTTATATTGATCTGTCAAGTTACCAAGAGCAACCAACATGGTGTCACAAGTTCAATAATGTTCTCACATTTGGCAAACCATTCATAAAAGGCTCTCTGCTCCCTGCCGCCCCCACATCTTCATTTTGCCTGTGAATTTAACACATAGGCTGATTTCACAGCTAGTCTAGAATACCATCTTCTCCTAGAAGTTTCATACAAATCTACACACCACACCTATTCCTAATAGCTGGTATTCACTGAATACGATCACAAACATACAGCTTCCCAGCAAGATTCTAAAAGCATATACTTAGAGACTCTCAGGTAAACTGAAAATTTCATCAGCCCATGAGAGAGACTGTGGTGCCATGAATGATGTGACTCCACTCTTCCGTCCAGTCACCTAGAGTGTGGTGTGATGAACATCTAACTCCTGTGACTGTGGGTATGGTCCCATTTTGGAGCGAGTTGTCCCTATAGCAACAAGACAGAGCAGGATGGCAAAGGAATAGTGAAGCATGGGGACCGCATTTGACCTCTTCCTCCTTCCATAGAAAGGAGAACCCATCTCCACACCAGCCCAAGGCCAACTGCCACAAAGCAAAGGTCAGATGTGCCTCCAACCTCCATCTTCTTTACTCTTTTAAAAAAATCATTTTATTGGGGGCTCATACAACTCTTATCTCAATCTATATACATCCATCCATTGGGTCAAGCACATTTGTTGCCATCATCATTCTCAAGACATTTCTTTCTACTTGAGCCCTTGGTATCAGCTCATTTCCCCCCCTCCCTCCCTGCTCCTCCTTCTCTCATGAACCCTTGATAATTTATAAATTATTATTTTGTCATACTGTCCGACGTCTCCCTTTACCCACTTTTCTGTTGTCCATCACCCAGGAAGGAGGTTATGTGTAGATCCTTATAATCGGTTCCCCCTTTCCACCCCACCCTCCCTCCACCCTCTCAGCACTGGTCCTGAAGG